TGACTAGCTCTGGTCAACATAGAAATGATCCGGTGCGGGCGCGCTTATAGTAGCGATTGAGCCCAACTTATTATCCTGCCTAATTTGTTACTCGAAATTGAAACGGTCATAACTCAGTCATCATAAATCGAAATTGGGTTATTCTTAAGCTAAAATTTAAGAATTTTTCGACCTCTTTCCAATAGTACCAATTTCATTATTAGATTCCCATCATACTAAGAGATCGAAAAATTATTTACCGAGATGAAATATTTATGGAAAACTATTTCTGACGATTTTTAATAGCATATAAATTGCATTAATATAATTAAATTAATATATTATTATGGAAGGAAGTATATATATATATATATATATAATTATTTATATATGTACGTGTATATATGGTTTAATTATTTAGAATAAGTATGGAGTGATATGTATATATATATATTGATATATATGTATATATATGATTTAAATAATCAAAGATTATTATGGATGGTATTATACATATTTATATATTATATAATATATATGTATGTATATATATATATATCATTTAAGATGATTAATATTAATTATTCTTATTTGGTATATCTGGATAGGCCGGTTATTAAAGTAATGTTATGTTTATGAAATACATGAGATGTCTATGTGTGATTTAGTTCATCGTTAAGTTTAAAGTTGGTACATGGTTGAATTGTAGGCATAGATGAGTTGTCAAAGGTTTAAATATTTGTATGAATAAAATACATACATATGAAGAATGGATAAGTTACAAATTAAAAGTATAAATATATATACTTAAGGAGGCATGATTGAATCGCCAATATATAAATAAATATATTTATAATAGCATGGTTAAATTGCCGAAGCATAAGTTAATGACTATGTGTATTAGATGTTTAAATTGCATCTATGGTTATTGTATGTATATGTTGGATTAAGATTAGACGTTCTTAAATTAAAATAATCTAATACTTATAAGTTAGTATATTATTTTATATATATTAATAAAATAATATTGGTGGAGACATGGATGATTTGTCAAAGCCTATATACTGACTGTGTAATTCAAATAATTAAAATTATTATTTGGTATTGGATTAAATGAAATATTCCTTTAAATATAGTTTAGTATTTAAATGATTAATTAACTGTCTAGGATGGGATTGAGGTTAAGGAACTTTTCTTTAAAAGAAATGGCGAATTGGTCTAGGTATGATTATTATTTAATCATTGATAATGGTTTTGAAATTAATGAACCTAATAATAGATGTGACTGTTTTATTTATATATATCTGTATCATTATTTATTAAAGATAAAAACTTTACTAGGTTTGGTTTTGATCATAAATGATCTGCTTATTAATTTTCAGAAGCCTGGTAGAGAAAATTTGCTTATAGGTTTGACCCACTTATTTTTATCTTTCAAGTTATTAGAGGTTCAAGTCTCAAGATTGAGGATCCGTAACTGGAGGATTTATCCGTTCTTTTAGTTTATTTCAAAGTAGGATGATAAACTTATTTTTATAGTTGATTGGATTATTGGATAATGTTTTAAGGGGTCCTTGAGTTATGGGATTCCCGAGTTGTAATTGTTGGAGAATTATTAATTAATGAAATATTTATTTATTAATTTTCTTCAGCGGTTTGTTTATTCTTTATTATTCATTTTTGTATTCTGTGCTTGTTTAAATACTTTAATTGTTTTGATATCCCTTGATTTTGTACACGAAATTGATCAATCAATGTTTCGAAATTAGGGGATATCACATAACATTATGTACAAAATGGGGCGGCCCCGGGCATTTCTCAGCATCATTTTAATAAAAAGTTGGTAAGGTATCAACTTCTTATTATAATAATTGATGTCACCACTTACGCATGTTGGTGAGGATTGTAGTGACGTCATAACCAATTATATACATCCATCAATTTGTATAGATAGACACACACTCCTCATTTATATATGATGAATATGAATTGGGTTTCATTAATAGGCAGTACCCACCTTAACTTGTGTTCCTACACTTGCCTCCGTTTCTATATGACAAAAATTGGATTGTTGGTGCTGCGTAGTCTAATCCTCCAACTATAAAGATGGGAAATCTAAACCAAGTCCACTCATTTTATTTAAGTTTCAATATGCAATACCACCTCAATTAAGTTGTGGTCCTGCACTTGCCTACATTTCCATTAATAACAGATGTAAACAACAATAATAGGATGATCGCCAAAAATTGTTAGCTGGGGACACTTGGTACAATTAATGCATGAAAATGGTGTGTTTTCTTTAGTCACCATTGTGATTTGTGACTCATTGACTTGTAATTTTGAAATATATGCTTAACGTAGTTATGCTAAGTTCTGTGATGCCCATTAATTTATCTTTATGATAATTTAGTTGTAAAATTAATTGAGTCCATTTAAATTAAAAAAAAAAAAAATTGACATATTACATGTCAAATTCTTAATTTGTTTTATTTGTTATTTATCTTGATGAAATTAAATTGTCATCCTTAATAGATTCGTAATTTTAATTCAAGGAATTTTAAGCTAATAATTACTTAGGTCAAAGTAGTAGATTTCATTAGAGGGAAGAACTCAACTAGTTTAGAATAAGGACAAAAATTGAGTTGTTTAAAATGCACACACTGTGAACATTAAAAAGTATGTGAATGAGAAATATTATTATTATTATTATTTGTTGGATAATCTGTTGGCACAATGCATGAGAATGACTAAAATAGAGTGGTCTTTCGACTTTTGGGAATAGAATTTTCAACAAAAATAGTGAATCTTCATCATATTTAAATTTACAATAAAAGACAATGCAATAGTGTCAGTGTCAAGTGTCAGTATTCATAGTCACACCAAACCAATTGTACCGCTGTATTTCGGGTGTTTTCATCTTATTCAATTATCATCTTGACTATTAATACAAAGACATCACAACACAATATTCAAAATATCTTTATCCAAACTATTTAACTTTGATTTTTTTTAATAAAATTTCATGAGTGCACTATCATGTCGTTATAACGGAAGTCATAGTTTTGAAATATATTTTTCTCTTTGTTCTCTTTATATTATTTTAATATAAGGGTTTTTAAGAATTTTTTTTTCTTTCTTTTTCAAAGTTTTCTTGAATTCATGAATAGTAAAATAATGGTGTCTATACAACACACACACACACACACACATATATATATATATATATATTAAATTTGTTATTTTCTTATACCATTAAGTTTGCCTTAATCAAATTAAATTGTCATATATAATAGATTCGTAATTTTAATTCACGGTGCTTTAAGTTAATAATTATTTAGGTCAAATGAGTAGGTTTCATTAGATGGGAAAGCTTGGCTAGTTTAGAATAAAGACAAAATTGGGTTGTTTAAGTGAACATTACCAGATAAGGTCAGTATCATAGTTCATGGTCACACCGAACGAGCTGTACCAAAGTTTCATTTTTGATCTACCATGAACACATGTAAAACTTTGTCAATTTAATTACAAAGGTGACAGTTTAAAATTGAGATTTTTGGCTCTAATATTATTAGATTAATCATTATCTGTTCTAAGATCTTAAATTATTAAAGTTAGTGTACTTTAACATTTAGTATATTCTTTAACAGTTTTTCTTTTTTTCTCCTTCGCGAAACATTAGAATAAAGTCTTATATCAAATTTTAAATTAAAGAAAGAAAAAGAAAAAAAAAAAAAGAAAAAACGAATGTTGCTATGATGGAACTCCCTATTGCATAATTAAGTCTTTATTGTGTTTCTAGGATAATGTAATTCGACAGATGCCAAAATGCAAGAATGATATCCTTCGTCATGTCACGTCACTTCATTTTTCTTTTCTCATCCGCATCCACAATCTTAGATGACATTTAAAATATTATGCATAAATTATTTGATAATCACATCAAACAAGAGTGAGTGTGTGTTTTATCACATAATATCGTTCAGCATTTATTATAATAAATTGTTATTAACTATCACAACTCCTCCTTAGATTTAAAATCTAATGAATCAATCATATATAACAACATAATTCATTAAAAATATTTTTTTTTGTGAATTTTAGTAATTTTATCAATTTTTTAAGAACCATTTAAAACAATTAAAAAATATTTACATAAAGACTTGAATTTTATGACTCTGTCATATTAAAAAAAAAAAAAAAAAATCTAATTACTTTTTTACTAAATTAATAAATAAACCAAAAAAATTACAAATGAAATAAATAAAAATAGATACAAAAAAAAAAAAAAAATTCACGTAAAATAGACTGCATAAGGACAAAAGTATATTTCAACGTGCTAAATTGAGTTTTGTGGAATCAATGCCCAAACAATAATGAATTTTGAAATAAACCTTACTGGTGGCTCTATATAACTCCAAATCAATTCAATAATTTATAATACTCAAGAAAATAAAATTAATTTTACCTACCCTTTGAAATAATGAATTTTTAGTGGGGGTGTTCTTTGGTCTTATTTTTAAAAACCCAGATTATATATAATACTCAAGGATTTGGAATTTTTGGGCGACTTTGTTTGTAACCAGAGAAACTGAAAATAGAAAATTATATAAAAGATTCTGCTTGATTCAATTAATCATGTGAATCTCTTACCGATCTTCATGACTCCGCACTAAAATCTTATTAGGGTTGTATATAAATTGCTTTTGTAGAGTCAAAAATCAACATATAAAGCAATTTTCACAACTTCCTAGGGAGTGCAAACAGTTGCACAAAAACGCGACTGGTTGGGTTTGATGTATTCCAACGTTTAGAACTCACTGAACGCAACTGGTTGCGTTTTGGCAGTAAACAAAATAAACTTGCAACTTTGCATGCTACTGGTTGCCCCGAAACGCAATTGCTTGTGATAGGTGAGTAGCCAAACCAAAGTCACAAGTTTTACCATCCCAATTCTTCATGTGATGGACTCCACAAAAGTGGTGAGATTCTTCCTAAAAATTACTTTATGTAATTAGAATATGGTTAAAAACGAGAAGATATTAGGTGAGCCAGAGCATGCTATATTCTTGGTATGTCGGGCCGATGAAAGTTCACTAAATAGTAAAATGGATCCCAACACTTAAAAAAAAAAAAAAAAAAAAAAAAAAAAAAAAAAAAGGAAAAAAAAAAAAAAGGGTTCTAAACTGCTTTCATAAATTGATTTGTTATATTTTCATCTGTAGGACTCACTCTCTACCCAATTGTTAAAAACAGGTGTGTAATGGAGTTGTTCATACTTTAAATTCAGGAATTGAGCAAACGCTTGGAAACCAGTCAAATGCCTGAGCTCATAAACAATCCCAAAGTCATTCATCTCAAGCAAAAGATTTATGGGAGCACGACTGTATAAAGAATTCCTTTCTTGCGAAGACCATTCCAGGTAATAGAACCAATTTCCTTGATAAAAAGCCCGTTTCTAATTAATTTAGACAATGGAAGTCCTCCACTGAATTAATGTTCCTTCTAGATCAATTTTTTAATTTTGATTTTTCTTTTTTTCCTGATGTTAATATGATAACCTTGCCTGCAGGATGCAGAAGGCAACGAAAGACACGATCAGCTTTCATGAATATAGAAAAAGAACAGAGAAGCACTTGTCGGAACAAGAAGAACTTCAACCAGATGAATGTTGGGAAAGATCCATTAAAGATACCCTTCGTGTACTGAAGGACAGGCCATGCAACTTCGCTATCTATAGGGTTCCAAGCAGACTACGAAAAATCAATGAAGATGTCTATAATCCGCGCATCGTCTCAATCGGACCATTTCACCATGGCAGAGAAGATCTGCTGAAAATGGAAGAGCACAAGTGGCGTTACATGCTTTCCCTTCTTGGACGGACACGAGATCAGGTAAAGACATTGCAGGAGTTTACCAAAGGTATTATAAAATTGCGGGATGGTGTTCCTGGATGCTATGCAGATGACCTCAACATGAACCGGAATAAACTGATGGATATTTTGCTAGTGGATGGCTGCTTCATACTCGAGCTTTTTATTAGGTACTCCGATGCAAATTTTAGGCAAAACGGCGGAGATGAAACAACCAATGGTGCTTGGATGATTCCGACCATAAGACATGATTTGGCATTGCTTGAAAACCAGATCCCCTTCTCAGTTCTAGACCTCTTATTTAGCATCCTCGAGTCATCAAATGGTGAACGCTTTCCATACACGCTTAACCAGTATGTTCTACTTTTCTTCCACTCTGCTTCACTAGAACAGACAGTTCCAATGAATCCGAGAGCAAGAGAAGCCAGGCATGTACTCGAAATGTTGCATATCTATTACCTTCCGTCATCTTCAAAGACCGACGACCTTAAAGAAGATCACACTTGGGGATTCAAGCATTGTGCAACAAATCTCTTAAAGTCTGGAATTGAGATTGAAAAGGCCACAGGATGTGGTGGTTTATTGGAAATAAAATTCGAAAAAGGAGTGATTCAGTTCCCAACATTGTCCATTGACGAAACAATGGAGACGATCTTTTGGAATCTCGTTGCTTTTGAGCAATGCCGCGTCGGTGGTACGCATCACATTACTTCATATCTCATGCTTATAAAAGGTCTCATAGCTTCCTCAAAAGACATAGAGTTGCTTCAGAAGAAGAAAATAATAAAAATATCCGACAGGAGTAGAGGTGAAGATGTTTTAACTTTCTTCAATAGTATCTGCAGGGAAGTTGTTCTGAAAGATTTCTATTTTGCTAAGATATGTGAGGATGTGAATCATTACACTCAGTCCTGGTGGCATTTCCACAGAATTAAAGCTCACTTGGGTGTACCATGGTGCAATTGCGTTGTCGGTCGCTAAATTGAAAAATGAATATTTCCCAAATCCAAGGAGTTTCAGATCACCCCGCTGCATGCCATCTTTGTCCTAGTAATTCTCATTGCCTGCAGACGGACATCTTGGATCTTAGGATAATCTTGCTTGCTCTTGTAATTTTGGTTTCTTTTCAGTTGTAATGAATAATAAGTAATTGGCTGTTCCAGTACTTTCTTCTCACATCTTGGTTTTATGTAGTTTGAAGACGATTCTAATTATAATGAACTCTCAACCCTTTTTATTTTTTTTTTATATATATATATATTTCAAAGATTTTTACTAAAATCATGTAATTATTATATGCTCTCTTTATAAGCATCCAATTAAGTTGATCTTGATTCTGCATTTTATATATTCACCAATATTAACTAAACTGTGACTCTTTTGACTTGTCATACATATATTCTTCATATAATTTGGATGTTACCTTGAACCTGATTCTGTTCCCATAAAATTCTTCATATATTTAGGCAAGGACAAATTGAGTGAACTAATACTTCTTTGAGTGTACTAATAGTAGTAATAATATATTTTTATTACTATTATTTTTTTTGACTGGATTAAAATTAAGTATAGTAACAGAAAATTAGACATGTTATCTTTATTTTTAAAAAATTAATTTTCTCTTCCGTCCCGCAATGCATTTGACTGGAATAATAAAATGATATAATGCTAGAGTGGTGCACAAAAATCATTGGAAGAGCCGTATCGAATTTTGCTTCGGTTCCAATTCTATTTCCGAAATAAGAAACTTTTACTTTACGGTTCCCATTTCAAGTTCATTAAAACAAAACCAAATTAAAAACTAAATATATATATCACAATATTAATAAAAATTAATATAAAAATATGGCTATTCCCAAATGATTTTTACTTCTAAATTTGATATTTTTTTTCACAAAGTAGCACATTTGCTTTTAGATTACAAATATATTTTATTTCTTTGTTGATAAGTTTATTATTGTTCATTTATTGTATAAACTTGTATTTATTTTTTTAAGTAACATCAATGAGGTTGGTAATAAGTTATAAAGTTCTTTTTTTTTTTTTTTTTTAAAGGTAAATAAAAAAAAAAATGCACCATGTTTTAGTTCCAATTTTTAGGAACTGTTGAAATTGGTTCGATCCCAATTTAACCTTGAATTGAACCTCTGACATTCCTTTGACAAGTAGAAATTTAGTACCGCTCGATCACTGGTCTGTTGGTGTAAGCACATTGTTATTTATGCAAACTATTTCAAATTGAATGAAATGACATGATTTTTTCTTCTTCTATATATCACTTAGAACAAATAATTATAAGGTTCATGTATAAACTGTTCAACGTGTATTACTTTAACCTCCATAAAATTTGGTGTGTTGTCACATCCCGAAAATTCCAATAAAATTCTCGATTTATTCAACTCAAATATATCAAAATATCAAACATAATTATTACTTTCGTGGACCCCGCTACCCACCTTTTCTTCTTATCTTCTCATTTCCTCCACAAACCAGACCATATCTCTCTCTATCTAAATATCCCACGTGCACAATTTAAGGCCCAAAGCTTTCCTTCTTCCCGCCCCTCTAACCTTTCCTTCTTCCCTTTTCTTTTCAATTTCATAAATTACCCAATCCTTCACTCTTTCAGTAGACAAATCTCTCTCTCTCTCTCTCTCTCACACACACACACACATATATATATAATATGTAACAAAATCAATGAACCATTAAACCAACTTTTTAGTGGACCCCACGAAAACATCACATTCATTTCTAGTCTTCTCTTCATTTCGGCACCTTCCTGCCACCATGCAACAAATACATACATACATATATATATAAAGTAAAATAACTCCAATTAAAATTAAATACTAAAAATCATGAAATAATTTAAATTAAAATCCTAAAACTCCGAGCTATCACAATCTCTACCACTTAAAAAGAATTTCGTCCCCGAAATTCAGGTCCAATCGTCTTCGCATACTCGAAAACACCGACAATCACAAAACCAATCCACAAATCCCTACCCCAGGCGATGTGAGATACAATGATATATAGGACGTTGTGGTAACTGCCAGTGCTAGTCACCCGCCCACACACTCCGTAACCGTTGTGGTAGTTAGTCGATGCGTCACCCGTCCACTAAAAAAAACAATAACCAACCTGGGCTACCTGTCTAACTACACTAACCAACCATCCTAGTAGTTGCCGGTGAACGCCATCCGCCTACACACACCCGGCTACGAGTAGCAGCTCATCAATGCTACACACTCGCCCACTCACACTCGTCTACATCATCACTACACTCACACTTCCGACTAGTTACAGCTCTGATACCATTTTGTCACGTCCTGAAAATTTCAATAAAATTTTCGATTTATTCAACTCAAATACATCAAAATATCAAACATAATTATTACTTCAGTGGACCCCGCTACCCACCTTTTCTTCTTATCTTCTCATTTCCTCCACAAACCAGACCATATCTCTCTCTATCTAAATATCCCACGTGCACAATTTAAGACCCAAAGCTTTTTGGCCACAAAGTCTTCAGTGGGTCCCGCCCCACTAACCTTTCCTTCTTCCATTTTCTTTTCAATTTCATAAACTACCCAATCCTTCACGAAAACATCACATCCATTTCCAGTCTTCTCTTCATTTCGGCACCTTCCTGCCACCATGCAACAAATACATATATATATATATATATATATATATATATATATATATATATATATATGTAACATAAAAAAATATATTATAAAGTAAAATAACTCCAATTAAAATTAAATACTAAAAATCATGAAATAATTTAAATTAAAATCCTAAAACTCTGAGTTATCACAATCTCCACCACTTAAAAAGAATTTCGTCCCCGAAATTCAGGTCCAATCGTCTTCGCATACTCGAAAACACCGACAATCACAAAACCAATCCACAAATCCCTACCCCAGGCAATGTGAGATACAATGATATATAGGACGTTGTGGTAACTGCCAGTGCTAGTCACCCGCCCACACACTCCGTAACCGTTGTGATAGTTAGTCGATGCGTCACCCATCCACTAAAAAAAACAATAACCAACATGGGCTACCTGCCTAACTACACTAACCAACCATCCTAGTAGCTGCCGGTGAACGCCATCCGCCTACACACACCTGGCTACGAGTGGCAGCTCACCAATGCTACACACTCGCCCACTCACACTCGTCTACATCATCACTACACTCACACTTCCAACTAGATACAGCTCTGATACCATTTTGTCACGTCCCGAAAATTTCAATAAAATTTTCGATTTATTCAACTCAAATACATCAAAATATCAAACATAATTATTACTTCAGTGGACCCCGCTACCCATCTTTTCTTCTTATCTTCTCATTTCCTCCACAAACCAGACCATATCTCTTTCTATCTAAATATCCCACGTGCACAATTTAAGACCCAAAGCTTTTTGGCCACAAAGTCTTCAGTGGGTCCCGCCCCACTAACCTATCCTTCTTCCCTTTTCTTTTCAATTTCATAAACTACCCAATAACATCACCTCCATTTCCAGTCTTCTCTTCATTTCGGCACCTTCCTGCCACCATGCAACAAATACATATATATATATATATATATAACATAAAAAAAAATATTATAAAGTAAAATAACTCCAATTAAAATTAAATACTAAAAATCATGAAATAATTTAAATTAAAATCCTAAAACTCCGAGTTATCACATGTGTGCTGGGACTGCAACTTCGACAAGTTGGGCAAGTTGAAGGTACAACTCAAACCCAACCCAACCCAACATATGAGTTATTCATCCATATTCCAATCATAATACGAGCTCAAGTACTCAACTCAAGCTCAACACATCCTTTAATTTTTAAACTCAGATTTGCAACTCAAATTAATCTTTCAGGCTAGAAAGTCAGATTATTCATATGGCCAATCATTTTTAAAGTGATCTTCAATTTACTTCAGAGTAGATTATTCCGGAGCACAAAATTAATGAAAATTTCAAAAAATTATAATCAAATTATGAAAAAATTAATTTTCTAAAGTGTTAACACATAATACATTAAGATTTAAACAAAGCAAGTAGAAAATAAAAAGTTAATTCTAATTTAAATATTATATCTAATATATTTAAAACAAAAAATATGTATAAAAATAATATTAAAATTTGGTTTCAGGTTGGGCTCGAGTTATTGACATTTCAACTCACTAAATTCAGGTTGATAATTGTAAAAATGATTGTCTAAACTCATAAAAAATCGAGGTGCGTTCGAGTTGGCAAGAAATTTATCATTAAAGAAAGGTTAATAAAATTTTTCACGAAATAAAAAAATTGTTTTTCTTGACAAAATTTAAATACAAGATTTTGTGATTATGAGAATTACCTTATTTTTACAAAAATTATTTTCCCTGCTAAACAAAATTCAGAAATTATTTATTTATTTATTTATGTTGTTGCTATATCCATCTAATTAAGCAGAGAGCCTTACTGCAAACCTTAAAAAAAAAAAAAAAAAAAAAAAAAAAAAAAAAAAAAAAAAAAAAAACCTAAATTCAGTGACATTATGCTTAGCATTTTGTACCACGGGATGTTATTTAGGTCAGCCATGGACAGAGTCGAAGAACATCTACACCCTGCATCATCATAGTTGTTGTAACTAAATTTCTTATTTCAAGGAACTATTGTTATCATTTAACAGTTAAAAACTACAATTTTTTATTTTTACAACTGCAACTGCAAAGAAAATATTAATATTAATAATGTTGGACTATTTAAACATGGAATTCAGAATACTAATTAATTTTAATCCAATATTTTTAGATCTCTCTATTCAGAGTTTGCAAAACCTGACATTTTTATTTTAATGTCTACGTGTCCTGCTCCAGCGTTTTCAAGGAGTATTTGTTTTCGATTTTATTGTTTAAAAGACTTCTTGTGTCAAGTAGAGACAACTTTTGTGGTGTTGTACCTACCAATAATACCATCAACTTTTGTCTTGATTGATGGTCACATCAATCCATACGTACGACGAACAAAATTTTCTTCTACTTGCTGACTAGGCTCTATGTCTTTAGTGTAAAAAAAAAAAAAAAAATACATTTACAGATTGCAACTAACTACACTTTTTTTCTAGGGAGGACAACAGTCTAAATATAAATGCATAAAATCAAAGATAAAATCAATATTGCATTACCTATTAATTAAAATGCAGATAAGTGGCTAGATATATCAAAATTAACATTTCAAGGGTCATTTTTAAAATTTTCAGGTAAGATCTCAAATTATATAAAGCTGCACGTAACCACATAAATTAATAAAATGATATAAAAAAACCGCGTACAAACATCTTAATAACTAGCTAATCTCCTGATATGTCATTTTCATTAGGATAATTATAAAATTTTCGATACTTCACCAAATGTTCTCATGATGGCAAAGGGGTAAATTTGCTCTATATATGTCGGTCGTTTCTTACTTGCCCCTCTCAGCGTCACCCACAAAGAGTCTAGATGAAGAACTATATAGACCTTGATCTTTGACAGCACACAAAAGTTAAAATAGGTTTGTATAAGGGATAATTACGGAGCATAGAATTTTAGAGGCTAATTTACAAAGTTAGGAGTTAAAAGTCAATTTTTTTCGGTCATGAATTTTTCCAAAAGTTTGAGGAACATACAAAAAATACTAACACGGTTTATTTGTTCAAATTATTCTTATATTTTTAGGTATTATTTTTGTATCTAAAAGTATCACTCGTGTATGATATATCATTTTTATACATGTAAAAACCACTATATATTCTTATATATATTCTTATATATAGAGTACCACGTTTGTGCAATTATGTACCATTATATTTTCAAGTACCACATATGTAAAAGTAAGAACAACTCAGGTACCATGTTTATGTATGTAAGTACTACTCTTATGCACAAGTATATTACATTTTGTGCATAACATTTTGATGACTTGGTTTGTACAAAAATGATACCGGAATGCATTAGAGTGATACTTTTGTGCACAATAGTTATGTGCACAACAGAAGTACTTACATAAAAATAATATTTTTAAATATTAAGAGTAGTTTTGGTAAATGGTTTGCTCGACGAGTGAGTCGCACTTGTTGGCATTAACAAGGATGATGACCGATCTGGGTTTTTGAAGATAGGGGACGAAGTTGCATGGCGTGGTCCGTCGCGGTTGGCTCAATTTAGGGGTGTTTCCGGCGATGGCGGCAATGATGGGTGGAGATAGATGAGGTGGAGAAGAAAGGGAGCAGAGAGAAGAGAGAGATTATGATGGCTTGAGCGGATTCGCTATGACTTTTGAATAAACTTTGTAAATAACTATTTCATTCTACTGATGTAACCAAGGATCGGCATAACCAGTTCCAAATTGATCCGTTTAGTGGGTGAAAGAGAGACACGGAAGAGAGAGGGTGGCACCATTTGGGTAATAATAATTGTGGGATCCTAAGTATAGGGGCAAAACAGTCGTTTGATATTTTTAGAAATTTTTATTATATTTAACAATATAAAAGTGAGGGTAAGTAAGTAAATTCACAGCAAATTCTGACATAGGGTGTCTTTGCAATAAAATGGCAAATCTCATATTTGTTTACAACTAAGTCAAACATAAGAAGAGGTCACTGTAGTTTACCCATACTTTTTCCACCTCAAATTTTCAAAAAGAAATTATAAATGTGAAAAATGTTGACATTGATTCCATTACTTATTAATTAACCTTCAAAACTTCATGTTTTTGTAATTATCCCGGTGTATAATGTATCTATGGACTACAAATTGACATATGCAGGTACACATACAAGCCATAGTATACGTGGAGCACTGGAGTTATGTACACAAAAGCATAAATAAACTTTCTTGATCCATTAATCATCCATACATTGGAGTTTTGGTTTGTCAAAAAGAGAAGGTGATATATATAAAATTATTGCAGTTCGGTAATGTGGCTTACAGTGTTGAAAGTCTCATAATAAAGCTTTCGTAAGTCCGTGTTGAGATGTTGGGGGTTGGGATGGCAAGATTTCCATACCGGCGGGTTCTCGTTCTAGCTCCTCCTATTTATATGAGGAGGGGGTAGGGGAAAGATAGTCTCACCCCACCTCGTTTATAGTGTATTTTTATAAAATTACTCTTATATATTATAAAATATTACTAAATTACATAACTATATATATATATATATATATATAATATTCACTTCTAAAAGTGAAACCCTAAGTCTATTCTCTCGTAATATAGAAAAAAAAATATAATCGTTGTGTATCAAATATCTGATCATATTTTAAATTATTATAATTGTGCTAAAATTTTATTAAATTATTATGTTGAAAAGTATTATAGCTGTGTTGATTTTGTTGAAGGTGAATTGAAATTTAAAAAATGTTATGCGTGACGGGGCGGGGACGAGGGCTAAAGTGGCGGGGCGGGGAGAGGATGGGGGAGGGGATTGAAAATTAAATGGGCATGGGGGCGGGGATGGGGATAAAAAATTTGACCAGGGATGGAGATGGGGAATGAGATATCTGCCCCACCCCGCCCCATTGCCATCCGTAGTTGGGGGATCAAAAGTTAAATTATTAATTTTTTTTTTTTCAAATTAATTTTTTCATATATGGCACCAAAACCATGTATGTATCAAGAGCCAACATTACTGACTAGTGTCGTGTTATCAACGGGTCAATGACCTAATAGTACGAGATGAAAATCTCACTAATCTTCATATGTTGGTTCCGTCAGGAGGACAGTTTTCACATTTTCTTTGCACAATTTATCTCCTTCGTATGGTCGCAAAATGCCCGATAAAAGGATGAAATAAGCAAGTTTGGTCCTTAGAGATTCAAGTACGCCTCCACAATCTTAGATTTTTTATTTTCAGATTCAAGCTATAAGGTTGCTTGTGGGATATTGTCAAGGTCCCTTCAAAATTCAACTCTTGAACATCCATGAAAGGGTTATTACCTCTCACCGGTTCAACTTCAAAGTTCGGGATCAGAGCCTTACTTCTCAATGGGTGGTTATGGATTTAAGCTTCAATTGAGGCATATGTGTGTGAATATTAACTAAGAAAAAAACAGTAATAAAATTGTTCATCATGTTTGGGAGTTGAATTTATGTTCGAAACTTACACACTCTCCGTTCTTTAACCACTAACTTCTAACATCAATCTTGCCCTGAGGAAAAAAAAAATTTGCAAGCTAACATCGCTTCAGTTTACTTTTCAGTGCTACTCCTTCTCTTCGGTTATGGAAGCATTTTTTTTTATTTATAAATGTTAACCACCTGTCACCATTTCAATAAAAGACTCATTAATTTTGTCTGGTGTCATAATTTTTTCTGGTAAATTTGGTGGCATGATTTTGCTGAGAAATAAATTGCCATATTTATGACCATTTTCAGTAACATGGAAAAAGTGCTAATAGTTCATGTATTCACTCAACTACAAATTTAAAGTGCATTTAAGTCTTTTTGGTCCACATCCACAAGAAAAAAAGAAAGGACAAAATAAATTCTCTGTAAATTATTAAATAGTTTTTTATTTTAATCTGCCATAAATGCATGTAAGACTCTGTTTCAATTTTTTAATTATAAGGGTGAGATGAGGTTTAACTCAAAAACATTGGCTCTATTACCATACTAACCATTGTTTATTTCAATTACTTAAATTATTAGGGATGGCAAAACTTTAATATTTATATTGTCTTATGCATCCCTCTTTTTTTTCCTTTTTTTTTTTTAGGTGCATTAATGCAGTAGAATAGTTCCCTTGAATATTAAATAAAAATAAAAACTTTAATATTTCTATTGTCTTATACATCCCTCTTTTTTCTTTTTTTTTTTTTAGGTGCATTAATGCAGTAGAATAGTTCCCTTGAATATTAAATAAAAAAAAAAAAATTAAAAACTCCAAAAAAACTTAATCAAGTTTACCCATTGGATACGATTGATCGAAGGAGTAGGTTTCAATCGACATGACTAGCTCAACAACCTTAAATTGACTGCCAGACCAAAAAATGCACAAACATTTCTACAAGTTTTCTTCTGCCACAATAATGGTTCATGGAGAATGGTGAAGTCGTGGTGTTTATATCACATTTTGAATTTGCCATCATTTTCTTCTCTGTCTTCAATTCTGTCATAAATTATACATCTTCTTGTTACCATTAGGTATGTCCTTCTCGGGACTTGATCGATGTCACTTCCTACGTATTAATAAGGATTGCAATGACATCATTCTCATTTGTATACAGTTATGGAGACCGAGCTTGTTCATATGACCCTTATGGCATGGGCCTAATATGCCATAAGATATTGAATGCACAAACCATACTATATAATCAAATAAAAATGTTCTGTCTATTTATATACAAAAAATTAATAATAATGCTTTTAAGAAAATTTCTTCATGATGACTAGAGTTGTGAGTTGTACATATTTTTTAAGATTTGTGAAAAGTTAAATAAATGATATAATATATCTTTCAATTCATTAATTAAAAATGAAAAATTCATGAAAGAGCTTTCTTAAAAGCATTAATGTATAAAGAGTATCCCTAGTTTTATAGTTGGCCCAATAAATAGCGTCCACTATCAGCTTTTCAAAAGAATAAAAACACTTTGATATATATGACAAATATGACAATTATTAATTGTCACATCAAATAAGTTGTATAATCGAATAAAATCAATAGCCAAATATATTATTTTTCACTTATAAAATAATACTAATAAAAATTTAATATGTTGCATTTTTATTGGTGCACAATTTCCTACTCCAATAGGACATCCTTAAATATATATATATTTTCTCTTTCTTACCTTCAAAACATTTTACATCAAATATTAATGATGGATGGATAGAGCCGATTCATTAAATTGTAAAGTTAAAAAGAACCATTAAACAATCAAATGACAACTTGGTCAATTCCCCATATATCATAAGTGGCAGGTGACTGTGACTACAGGGTGGTGTCTTTATCAAAATTTTCAAACTTCGGGAGCAAGCCTCATGTGCCATTATACTTTACCCTATAAATAAAAATGTGTCTTCCCTTGTGCAATAACAAATTTTGTTGACATATCTAGTCAACCTCTAGACAAACACAAAACTAGAAAAAAAGACAGAGATCGACTCATGGCAGCATCAATGGAAGCGGGGCTTTTGAATTCCATACAGCAAAAGATTTCTCACAACACTGAAAGCACACAGGCCCTAGAGAATTTCGGGTGGTCGGTGCCAAGGATTCCGGTCATGCACAGGGTCCCGGATGTTCTTCGTCGACAAAAGCAAAAGCAACATGTGTACAGTCCTACCACAGTATCAATCGGGCCTATTCACAATATTGGGGCGGAACCACATTTGCAAGAAATGGAGGAGATCAAGTTGAGCTACATGCATATGCTTTTTAATCGATGCGGTCAAGCAAAATTTAAGCAAGCACAGAAAGATTGTGTGGATGCTATGGGAGCGATGGAAGGCGATGTCCAGAAATGCTTTGCAGAAGTCAAACTAGACAAAAATCCAAGGCTTGCAGAAATAATTCTTATTGATGGTTGCTTCTTAATTGAGCTTTTTTTCAGGAATTATCGAAAGGAACAAGACCCCATTTTGTGGAACCCTTTCAAGTACTACGCGGTCCAACGCGACTTGCTACTACTCGAGAACCAGATTCCTTTCTTTGTTCTTGAAAAATTGTTCGAGCTCTTGGTGAAATATATCGAGGTGGTTGAGGGAAAACCCAATCCTAGCAGTGTTAATGAATGTGTTATTTCATTCTTTGCAGGTATGATGGGCTTAGAGATTAATAATGCTCCAACAGAAGATAGGTATAACAGAACTCCTTCTGATATACTTACCAACAAAAGAGAAGCAAAAGTTAGAACTCCTCATCATATACTTCATCTTTTACACACGTGCTATGTGCCTTGTATTTACGAAGAAGAATGGAAGACATGGGAGCAAAGAAACAAAGAGGTTCCAGGGTTCAAATATGCTGCAACACAACTCGACATTGCAGGTGTCAAGTTGCAGGCACGTGAAAAAACAAACCTATTCAAATTGAAATTTACTACTCCTCGTCATTGTTTTTGTTTGTGGCGAAAAGGTCAGTTTGAAATCCCACCTTTCACCATTGACGAATCCACCGAGCCACTCTTGAGAAACCTCATTGCTTTTGAGCAATGCAACCCGGGGTTTCTAAGTTTCTTCACATCCCATGCTTTCCTCATGGATATCCTCATTGACACCGAGGATGATGTTAAATTGCTTGAAGAAGTAGGAATCATAAGTAACTGTTCGGGTTCCAGGGAAGCCGTGTTACAAATCTTCAACGACATTTGCAAGAATGCTGTTCCACGATATTTTCTGTACGCTGATCTATGGAAGAATGTGAAGGATTTCTGCACGCCAAGGCGAGTAGGTTTTCGAAAGTTGATACGGTATTATTTTGGTAATATATGGATACGAGTATCAGTCATTGGTGCCATTCTCCTTTTTATCCTCACTTTTTTGCAGACCTTCTTCACCATAGCATCATCCACATGATAATCAGTTGATATTCATGTGTTAGAAAAGTATGCAAATCATTTGTATGGTATGTTGTCTTTAATTAGAATCCATATAAATAGTTTTAGAAACGTATGTGAGTCTGTAATCTAGTGCATGTCATAGTGTCACGTGCATTTGTGATTTGTAATTCACACTAAAATCTTTGTAATTTTATGTATTTATAATGTAAGATTGTTGTTCTTATTAGAGTTTTGATTTCCCATTCACTTATGTATTGTAATTCACTCCCACATTCAAGAAGTATATAGGCTCTAGTCTACTATTGAAAATTGAAGACAAAAAAACGCAAGTCAATGACATTATTTTAACCTTGATCTTCCATGTGATAATGGACCATCCTGGTGCTGCTATGGCCTTCAACAGGCTGTTTGGATTCACTACCTGAGGACTTCCAACATATCTGTGAATGCAAAATATGCGAAGGAAAAAAACAATTGAAATGAACTTGGGCATATTTTTGAAAAGGAGATGGACATCGACCTAGTTGGCCAAGTTAGCTCAAGAATTATCCAGTTAATTAACCTCTAAGATTTAGTTTGTTTGACTCTAAATATTTTTAGAAAATATTTTTTTATTTTCAGGTGTCTGATTATCGTAAAATATTTACAAATAAAAAATATATTTTAATTTAATAAAAATAATTTCCAATCAAATTTTTGACAAATTATTTTATACCCACCTAATCAACTTCATTTCAACTGCATTTATCAAATGTCAAAAAAATAAAAATAATAATAAAAAAATTATCTAAAAAAAAAAATTCAAAAATAATATTTTACATACAAACTCCCCCAACAGAGAACAATTCAATCATCGCCCTCAATTATCAACATTAGATTTCATCATGTATTCACACAAAACACAATAATGGCAGTGTGTTTTCATGCTACAAATTTACCATCTTGCTCTCTCGTAGTACGAATATACCATTACATGAATTTTAAACATGATCTAAAGTGCGCTTGCCAACTCAAAAGCTGACTTCTCATTTATAGTAGTACTAGTACTACTGCTAGCTATTGTATTATTGTACTAGCTGGAGATTGACAATAACTGCACGGAGGATATGATGTCACCGCTTGTGTATATGCTAATCACGATTGCAGTGACATCATCTAATTTGTAAATACTAGTACTTGATAATAGCATAAACTTTTTTTTTTTCCTTTTTTTCTTTTTTTTCACGATAATAACGACCAATGCTTGTTACTGTTCATCCAATTTGTTGATGTGATTTAATAAAATTGTGCATCTTTTATTTTTAAATATATATTTTAAATCTTAACTTTTATTTTTAAACATTTAATTTAAAACTATTGCAACACATCAACAAGTTGGATGATTGCAACCAAGCATTGTTCATAACATAAACCCAAATACTAAGAATCAATCATGCAACAACTAACACAATTCAAAATTTACTGCACTATTCTTTTTCTTTTTCTTTTTCTTTTTCTCTTTTATGGTAGATGCATGTGAAGTGTTATTTCAAATTTTTATTATTTTTAAATTTCAAAAAAAATTTATTCTTAATGTAATTTTCTTACTTTGAAATTATGAAATAACACTTCTCATGGACCTACCATAAAAAAAAGTATTTGAATGAATATTCATTTCTCATCACTATAAAAATAAAAGTATTAAAAATTAAAGGTATGTTTGGTTTAATGGTAGTGTGTTTTCATGCTACAAATTTACCATCTTGCCCTCTCGTAGTACGTATATGCCAAGTAAATCTCAGCCGTTGATTACATGAATTTTAAACATGATCTAAAGTGCGCTTGCCAACTCAAAAGCTGACTTCTCATTTATAGTAGTACTAGTACTACTACTAGCTATTGTATTATTGTACTAGCTGGAGATTGACAATAACTGCACGGAGGATATGATGTCACCGCTTGTGTATATGCTAATCACGATTGCAGTGACATCATCTAATTTGTAAATACTAGTACTTGATAATAGCATAAACTTTTTTTTTTTCCTTTTTTTCTTTTTTTTCACGATATAACGACCAATGCTTGTTACTGTTCATCCAATTTGTTGATGTGATTTAATAAAATTGTGCATCTTTTATTTTTAAATATATATTTTAAATCTTAACTTTTATTTTTAAACATTTAATTTAAAACTATTGCAACACGTCAACAAGTTGGATGATTGTAACCAAGCATTGTTCATAACATAAAGTACTAAGAATCAATCATGCAACAACTAACACAATTCAAAATTTACTGCACTTTTCTTTTTCTTTTTCTTTTTCTTTTTTATGGTAGATCCATGTGAAGTGTTATTTCAAACTTAATTATTTTTAAATTTCAAAAAAAAATTATTTTTAATGTAATTTTCTTACTTTGAAATTATAAAAATAATTTAAAAATAATTAAAATTTGAAATAACACTTCTCATGGACCTACCATAAAAAAAGTATTTGAATGAATATTCATTTCTCATCACTATAAAAATTAAAGTATTAAAAATTAAAGATATGTTTGGTTTGTAACTTTAAGAATATTTTTATTTTTAAAAAATTGTATAAAAAAAAAACTCTGCTTAGTTCAATTTTTAAAAAATTCATTTATAAACAAATTTGTATTTAGAGAATTGTTTGTTCATTGAATTTTTTAGAATTATCTTTAGAGTTACAAACTAAATAAACCTAAGATTTTAAATAGTTCAATTTTGAAAAAGAAACTTATTTATGGGATGGGGAGTTAAAATTTATCGTGTCACTCTGAATCGATTTGTTTGCTATCAAAGTAAGAGGACATTAGCATGTGCCAAATTTCAAAATACTAGTTTATGAACAAAGGCGTACCACCTCTTTGTCTTTTAACAAATAATAATAATAATAATAATAATAATAATAATAAATAAAAATCCTTTAACCAATCAATGTTTTTCGATTTCATAATTGCCCTTTTTTAGTTACATAATCTCTTTAAGTTATCCTACAACATATACCAATATAGAAGTAGAGATTCAAAAAAAAAAAAAAAAAACGGAAACAATATGTTGAACCCTTAACCTCTCTCTAAACATGTTCACTAATGGCATCAACTTCAATCTGAAATCTTAAAACCAGTTTTTCTTACACATTGCGAGAATTGATAAAGAAGAAGAGAGAGAAAATTGGGATCGACAAAAAATATGAAGATAAGGCAAATCAGATGTACCTAAATATATGGAATGTAATTTAGTCAAGACACATACACATACATGATATAATATATATTAAATACCATATTTCAAAACTAACAGATTTTCCAAACTAACAATTGTCGATAATTATGGGCTATAATACAAAAGAAAAGTGAGACTACCAAATAAATTAAAAGGAAAAATTTATAAAACAGTTATTAAGCAACTATTTTATATGATATGCAAACTGTTGGCTTTTAAAGAGTAAACAATAACACCAAATTCATGTAACAAAAATAAAATGTTTAGATAGATGTCAGAAGTGACTACAAGATATTGATTTACAAAACAAAATTTGAACAAATTAGATGTAATGCTTATTAGATTCACTTGGTATAAACATCCAAGAAAACTTATAGATGCATCAATAAGGAGAGAAGCCTAATTTGAATAAAAGGTAGAATAGAGATAGAATGACCAAAATCAATATAGAATGAAATCATTAAAAATAAATAAAATTTAGAACTTAAAAAGAATAAAAATTTGAAAGAGACCCTTACCTAACATTGCGAAAGTTACAATAGTCGTTATCTTTGATATTTAGTATCACATGAGACCCTAGCTGGGATATAAATATGGGACACAATTATACTACGGACATGATAATATGAAAGATTCCAAAAAAATATCATAGAATACAAGGAATGGATAATATATTATAAGTTATAATTTAAACCAAAATAACAATATAATAAGTTATAATTTAAACCAAAATTATAATCTTTGCTTATTTTATACACATTATTCTGAATAAAATCCTTAATATGAAACTTAGTTCTAGATTTTTTTTTTTTCTTTCTAAAATTTAATTTTTTTAAATTTCCTCATAATATATTTTAAAATAAAAAATAATAATTACAAAAATAATTCACTTTTTCTTCCTCTCACACATTTTTCTGAATCCATCCTTGATTATAGTATAGTTAGAGGCATTGTTAAAAAAATAATGATAATAATAAAAAGTTATAAAGAAAATAATTTATTGCCAAAATAATAATAATAATAATAATAAAAATATATATATAGACTAAAGTATACAATTCCCCTGCCATATAAAAAATGTGTATCGAACTGCAATTTCAACGACCCATAGGAACGCAAACTTCGTCACTAGGCAGCTGATGTCACCGCTTATGGATGCTAATGAGGATTTCAATGACATCATTCTTAGCATTCTGTACCACTCAATTTTGTTCCCTGCATCATCATCAGAGTTACTGTATTGAAATAATTTTCTTATTTTAAGGAAATAATGCCATCAACCAACAATTAAAATGTTATTAACTTGATAAAAATAAAAATAAAAAAGAATTGCAAAGAAAATATTAATAACAATCATGTTAGAACAATTCAACATGCAATTCACAATCTAATTAATTTAATCCAATATTTTTAGATCTCTCCGCCAAGAGTTTGAAAAAAAAAACTGACATTTTGTGTTTTTAAGGTTGACCTTTTTAGTATCTGTCGCCCTACTTCCACTAATTAGTCTTGACTCTGATTTTAAAAGAGAACCTCAATTTTCTTTAGTCATTACTCCGATTTTATTTTCTCATTCCACATTCTCCTTAATTTTAAATATTAAAATGGCCATCAGCATAAATGTTTTATGGAAGCATAGAATAATTAATTAAAAGAGAAACACATCTAGCGTTCTATATTATTGGTATTAATATAACGAATATATAAAGGATGCATCAATAGTTTGTGTTAGGTCATACAATTTATTTAGCGGACTACAAATGACACATCACTAAAACAAATTTTTTTTTTTTTTTTTTTTTTTTTTTTTTTTTTTTTTTTTCCGAACGGTAAAGAAGAATATTAATCATAAAATGCAGTCTTAACGAATATATAAAGATGCATCAAAAGTAAATTATCTTTTGTAATGTTAGACTGCTTAATCATAAAATGCAGTCTTTTTATTTCTTTGTATGTGTATGTATTTTGTTTTTCAATTACAAATCACTTTAAATAAATAAGTCGTCTAATATTACAAAAGATAATTCATTTTTGGGTTCCGTTTGTTTGAATGTAAAATATTTTTTATAAAATATTTTTTTATTTTTTAATTTATGATGTTTGATTATGGTAAAATATTTAAGCAGAAAAAAAAATATAAAAACTTAATAAAAATAATTTACTCATTAATTTTCGACAAGTCATGACCTTGACCTACACTTTTGCCAAACATCAAAAATATATATATTTTATCTAAAAAAAAATCCTAAAAAATGTATTAAAGCCACATTATAATCATCAGTTAGATACCAAAAAAGGTGTATTCGTAATATGGGACACCCTCACAACTTTATGATAAACAAGGTTCCATTAACTAAAAGCTTGTGTACAAGCATCTACAAAGTCTAAACATCCGTTCTCCTCTTTTGAGTTTGCACCTCCGGAGTCATCTTTTGAGTCTTCTTCTTTTCCGGCTGGAACTTTATTCCAATAATACAAGATTGAAACGCAAATGTAGACCAATAGGTTGCCAACACAGAGAAAAGCTAACATTTTGTAATAGCGATCCAAACGGCTCCTATTTACATTGCCTCCGAACCAGATTTTGAAACTGAAGACACAGCCTATGCTAATGAATTTCCCAATGCCCAATACACAGTCCGTGAACGCCTGCCCGTAGATTCTATATTCAGGTATCTCATCAGCAACTTGACTTTTGAAAATTGTTTGGAGCCCTTCTGCGGCAATTCCTTCCATAACTCCCAACAAACAGTACTGTGGAGTTAACCACAAAATACTCATAGAAATAGTAGTTTCTGTGTTGTCTTCCAATCCCGCTTTCTTAACTAAATGCAACCTCCGAATCTCAACCTGCATTGCAGTGATGCAACATAATATGCAACTCACCAACCCCAAACCAATTCTCACAAGCGTAAATTGATGTTGTGTTTGTCTATCGCGGAACTTTTTGATTAGTAAGTCGCAAAGATAAGCAAAAATGAAGCTTGAGAAGGACTTGAACAAAAAGAAAATGTTTTCTGAAACAGTGTATCCATTCCCAATTTGATAATTCAAGTTGGTAGCTTGCTCAAGGAAGAAAGTAGTCCCGGTTGCCTCCACCACACTGTACACAAGGAAGGTTAACCACATAGGTACCATTCTTAATAAAACTTTTTTTTCGTTATTCACTTGTGCAACCTCTCTTTTACTTTCTTCTTGCTTTCCAGACTCCGCAATAGCAGCTTTGTCTAACCATTGAAATAGAAAAAAACCAAAGCAGAACAGTACATATGCGATGGCCATGGTAATTGCTGACATCTTGAACGCATATGCCCACGAATAAGAATTTTTTGAAAGCGTAAATGTAGATAAGGTAGCACCTGAAAATCGCGCCATGCGCCACCAGACTTCTACAATGGCTTCCACATCTTTTTCTTCGGGCATATCATCTTCCTCATCCATTTTTTTTTTCCCTGCATATCTTTTTCTTCGGGCATATCATCTTCCTTATCCATATATTTTTTTTCCTGCATATCCCCTTCCTCATCTATTTTTGTTTTTCCAGACATATTCCCGAATTCCCCATCTCTACCGCGCTTCGACTCACTCTTTTTTATCTCATCAACAAAATATTGAAATAGAGGCGTTTCGAGTCCTGCAGTACCCAAACCTATTAGCAGCAGTGCCACATAGAACAGCCATGCCTCCCTACTTTCAGTTAGTTTCCGATCTCGAAGCCATAGTAGCACCAATCCCTGCATGCAAAAATGGAGGAAGCTAATTAAATGAAGGTGCCATCTTAATTAATTGCTTGTTGGAGTACTATGTGCTGCTATTCATGAAGCTAGCTAGTTCAGAGTTAAGCAGCAAATATTGAAATATTGAGTGTCGCTGCAATGCTAACAGCAAGAATGGCCAAAATTTAGTTTCTAAAAGATGAGGAAAACTTGTTTGCGCCCGTTATACTCTGCAATTGGCACATCCAGATCATTCATGTAACACAGATACCTGCGTGTATTATTACACATGTCGATAATAAATGATTGAATGTGTCTATTGCACGATACAATGACCCAAAAAACCTTAATCTATTAATCGATCCATGAACTATGAATTCCTTATTTATCAATATGTAACCGAACTGTAAAGCTCAAATCAAATTAACACCACTACCTAACATTAAAAGTAATTCTCCTAATAGATCTAAAGAATAATGAAGAAAAAATTAGTGAGACTCACATACCCAATAAATAAATAAAAATAAATAAAAAGGTGATGCCAATATTCCTATATTAATAGTAATATTAATAATAAAAGCAGCAAAAATGCTGAGTACCTTGAACCAAGAAGAAACTTACAATGATATAAAGAGGAGTCGTGAGCGCGACCATTCGAAAACGTCCAATCCAGACATGTGATATGTAAGCAAGAACAATAGCCAAATTTCTTGATAAACCATCTTGCACATTTATAACGGCTGTGGCTTTTGAAAGATCTGGGCTCGCCCACCGACTTGTCAGATAGTTTATCAACAAATTAATCACTGCATATTCTACCAAGGCACGGCTGAAAATCATACCTAGAAAAGAAAGCAAAATTACAACTATGATTAAATATTGAGCAAACCAGCTAGCTAGCCACCAGAAAAAAATAAATAAATAAATACTGATCAAGTAGTACAATACCAAAGATAAATGAGGCACGCGGTGAAAATATAACACAGTCACAAAGCAAATGTTTCAAATCAGTCCTCCTTTGACGGAGATATGACGACCAACTCCTACCCATATTGAGTGGATCACCCTGCTATCAAAACAAAAGCAACAACCTGCTGCTTATTTCATTACTACTTCAACTTGCTAATCAATCCTTAGAACTAGAAGAACCGAACCGAACCGAGTGCTAAACAAACATAATAAAACTAGGTTAAATACTCTTATAAATAACAAACACGGAGAAATGAGATGAACCCAAAGCTAGCACAAATTTGGTCTCTCAGCTCATGTAAATGGAGACCTAGAGTACCGTCAGCGTGTAAAACTTGGCAACTGTCAGCGTGTAAAACCCGGCTAGAGTACTGACATTTAAATCCATTGAAGTCAACTGAAAGTCTTAAAATAATGGAATCCAAAAATATAAACAAAATAACAAGTTTTTGTTTATTATCATATATATATAGTTCATAAGATACGTCAGTCATTCAGGAAAACAACAAAATAACAAAAGTTTGTTTTTTTTTTCTTTTTGGGGGAGTGGGGAACTGGGGAAGTCCACTCTCCTGTTGGCTGTTGCTGTGAAGAGACATTCAGTTCTTTTTTCGTTTCAATTCAATTTGTTCCTTCTTATTAAAAGTTAATGATTATTATATTTTATTTTTATATATTTTAAATTTAATATAAATATAAGTCATTTTATTAGTGTGTCATATTAGTGACGTAAAAAGGAGGCAAGTATTGTTTAGAAATTAGAATATAATAGCATACAAAGAGTAACATCCAATAACAAAAGAACAGAAAGTAAACGCAAAACTTAATTCAAGGCAAGCATTGTTTAGAAATTAGAATATAATTGTTGAAAAATAAACTTAATTTTAGTATTTAATAAATCATTTTAAGTATTTGTCTTATATAGTGTATGTGGGCATTTAGTATGTTAGTGAATAGTAAATTATCTTAATGAGAATTAGTATATGAGAGTTAGTGTGATGATGAAAGTTACGTAAAACCAAGGGTCATGGGAGTTAAGTCTAAACGGTTATGTTAGTGGGAATTAAACCGCCTAAATACCATGTTAGTGGGAGTAGTGGGAGTTAAGCCTAAAAGTTATGTTAGTGCGAATAATTAGGTACTTAAATGTAATTGTTACACCTATGTTCATGTGGCCTATATATTCATGTACTCTAGTCAAATAATAGTAGAAGTGTAATAAAATAATTATTCAAGTATTCCTCCATATCATTTTCTTCCAAAACATTATTGAGTATTGTGTGTCTCTAGGCCACTATTTCCAACAAAGTGGTATCAGAGAAAAAACCAACAAAGTGGTATCAGAGTTAGATTTCATGTTTAGAGCCTAGACGATCCTGAAGGCCTGACAAAGTTAATCCTAGAAGGTTCAATATTTTGAGAAAAATATGTTTCTCCTTTATAATGATGAAGGGGAGAAAATGTATTTTCTTAATGAGAAGATGATGTTCTCTAATCACAAGAGAATGAGAATCATCATGACTCCTGGTGTCTTCTCTCGGGGTGTGCACAAAACAATGCACAACACTTTGAGTTTGAAAATTAGTGTCAAGTGGGCATCATAATTAAATTTATAAACCGCTTAACACCTATACTATATAGTATGAGTAAGAAGGGGTCGTCCCAAGGGATTGGAGTCGTACTTGAATGTGAAAATGCAACTAGGGTCAGTAGGTCGAGTGATTAACAAATGGTTGGTTGGTTAAGTAAACTAGGGAGTAACTAAAGTAAATTAAGTAATTGAATGTAACAAGAGTAAGCAAGAAAGAGAGAGATATCTTGGGGTTTAGAGGTCATCACCAAGTAATGTTTTTCTACACTTCCAACTAGTGACTAATGAGGGTAAAGTGTGCTGCAATATTTGTGTGTGTGTACTTGGTTAATTCAATTAGCAAGGGTGACTAATTTAAGCATACATTGTCTAATCAACATGTGAAAAGCACAATATATCTAGTAATTAAGTATATATTGTCTAAATAGCATGTGAGAAGCATAACATATTTAGCAAGTCATTAATCCTTTAATTAAGCTTATAAGCCAAACACACCACAAGGTTAGAGACATATGCTACTTACATTCAAAAGTATGAAACATCAAACAACTAGCATGGATTGTCCTCTCATCTAACAATTATGCTATCACTACACTACAATTAAACTAATGGCATGAAATTAAACTAACTAAGCTAAGGGAGAGGCATAATCCATCAAGAAGTGAGCATGGACCATCTAGAAAATCACAAGAGCATTCTTTTAAGCACAATGTTTTGACAATCCCTAAATCCATAGCATTAATACACATAGACATGCATTAATTACACAAGGAATAGAGGTAAACACATGAACATCTATTCTAGCATACATAGACATATGGATAGAATGAAATGATTGATTGGAAGCATTAAACCACACAAATCATTGAATAAACAAGATCTATATGTATCAAAATGTCAAAATATCAATTACAACACTAATCCCTCAATAATACACAAGATTAAGTTATAGAAAGCATGCTTGGGGCTAACTCTAGCCCCAAGAGGATGTCTAGCCACTCATGGTGATGATGCTCCAACCCTCAAGGGCTAATTTCATGGTTGAAATCTGCTCTTTGTTTATGAAGAGTCTCCAATGGTGTCTTTAGCCTCCTCCTCCTCTAAACTTCCTCTCCAAGAGATGATATGAAAAAATGTTGGCCCCCCCTTTTTTTAAAAGCAACCCTTATCCTTATATAGGTAGGTCAAAATGACACCCAAAATGAGCTAGGGTCGTGCACACAATGTTCCCTAATGATTGGATAAAGGACAACTTTCAATGAGATTGAATTTTAACTTTTTCGCACTGTAGGAAGTTCGATCGATTGAATCTTGAACTTGGATCGATCGAAAGTAAGTGAGATCGATCGAACTTAGGCTGGATCGATCCAACTGGCTGAGCTTTTTGGAAAAAGACAAATCCGAAATATTTATGGGAGATATTTATGGGAAAAGGACAAACGTGGTTAGTGGGTGGTACAGCTGTAGATAGGATCAATCATTTGAATAAGGACAAAAGTGTTCGATCGATCGAAGAATGGTGTTGGATCGATCGAACTTTTGGAACTTTATGTTTTTGGGTCATGGCTTGGATCTATCTTGAAGTGCTCAGATCGATCATTGTTCGATCGATCGAACCTTCAACTTGGATCGATCGAACCTTGCTATTTGCCACCTTTGGCTTCATTTGCTTCCTTCTTTCTCCACTTAGCTCCTTTCTTTGATTAATCCCAGAATTGCTTCAATTAAGCTCTTATTTAGCTGAGTTAGCTTATTTTCGGGATAAGTGCCTGAAAATGGAAATAATACGAAATCAATCTAAAACGGTAAAGTAAGATAAATAAAGGTACTAGAATGCCTAAGCTTAAGGGGTTTAAATACGCACTTTTCAGTGCTCATCAACTCCATACCTCAAAGCATGTGATTTGTGGGATGTTGTTGGGTTAGAGCCAAAGAATGGCATGTCCAACACAATTCGTGTGAAGAAAAAAGAGAAGGCATTGGTAGTGTTGCAAAAGGCAATACATCAAGAAATTTTGGAGTATTTTGGAGAGTCCAAAACTCCAAGTTGTGTTTGGAAGATGCTCGAGACCATCGTTTTCAATCAAAGAGGTGAATCA